CAGCGAGCTCCTGACAGCAATGCTCATACTCTCGCTCGAGCTGGATGATGAGCCCGTAGCATCCGCCAACTGGATCATGAGCGCGCATGTCCGCCTGGATTTTGATCGACTTCATCGCCTCAGACTGACGGTGAGGATCAAGCCCGCGGATAATCCTAAGGATGTTCGATACACCGAAGAGACGGTGAGCGTTGAGGAACTGGCGTTGACAGTCGGCGGGGAAGTAGGGTGCCAGAATGCAGTCGGGGTTGCACTTGCGGCGCTGGTACTTGCACGCTGCGCAGGCTTGAGTGGTTGAAGAGGAGGATGAAGTTCTGGTAGTGATAGTGCTCTTGTTGGAGGAGAATGCTGAGTTCATGATTGGTTTTTAATTTGAAGGGGGAATGGGAGACGGGGAGAGGATCGGGGGAGGAGAATCGGGCGCTGGGGAGTAGGGAAGGGGAGGATGAAGAGGAATAATAGAGAGAGAAGGAAGGGAAGTAGTCAGGAGGTTGGAAGAGGGGAGGGGAGAGAATTGTGGAGTTCTGTTATTTATTAAAGATTATGTGTGGATTTAGCTATTTAGGAAAGAAAGAAAAAATGTGCTGATTTTTTGTTTCTTTTGAATTTATTGACGTTTAAGAGTGTGCTTTGCTCAGTCAAATGCTGTTTTCTTTTTCGTTACAGTAGATGTGGCGACGGGCACGTGTCTGTGGATGCAAAATGTGATGTAATAATTTTGGCAACGATTAGTGTGGTGTCTTTATTACACATTTGAAAGCCCTATTTGGAATCTCATAAGATTCAGTTCATAATTTATTTGAGCTGACCACGGTTGCTCACTTTCGTTTTCATAGACAAAAATAAATATATGAATGAGCTACAACTATTACGCGCTCCTGCTAGACGAAGTGAAGTATTAGTTTAAGTTTCATTAGAGGAAGTGGAGTATTAAAGTTGAGAACGGAGTAGGTATCAGACTCATTCTCCACTGTTGCATAGATCCGAATAAAACGGAAGAATGCCGATACCCAGCAATGCCCATGAAAATAAAAAATAAAAATAAACACTCATAAATTGTTGGAATACTAAATCAAATCAATTATAAATATATTTTAAGATCCAACGTATATCTTTCCCACAAATATCCAACAAATATTCAAATGAAATAATTTCCTAACGAGTTCAAATTCAAATCAGATCCCAGGAACAGACTCCCTTTCTGGCCATAATCCAACATGATAACTTTGACAACAATAACAAATATAAATGTTAGCCATGCAAACAGTGAACTCTGTCGCCAATGGAAGTATGGTTTCCTGTTTTAGTGTCTACATATCTCCAATAACCACAAACCATACCATTCAATCCTTGCATATTAACCATGTTTGCTTAAAAAGTTGTTATAACTGACAAGGAGACTGGGCTATTAACTACAACTGAATATAGGCAAGAGGACGTTTGAATTTTCACAAAATGGAAACACCAATCTACAACTCTACAGAAATAGCAAAAAACAAAGGATTTCTCCTAACCGGTAATCTCTCTCTATTTAGGCCCCTAGTCTCAGTGACATGAGGGTAACGTTCTCTAATTATACAGTTGAGGAGGGGCTGAGGATTGAAGGCATCACCTGGCCGGATCAAATTCTTGAAAACCTTTCTTGAAATTTTCTGCCATCTTTGTTTCATCTTCCTTGCTTACACATTTTTTCCAATTATCTCTGTCAGTCAATTTAAGAAGCCCTGCTAGCACCTGCATGAACGTCATTGATCTCGTTAACTACAGTAGAACTTGGTTTTTTCCCGTCCAAAATATGAAATGGCACCTCTTTAGAGACCATGAAACAAATTTTGGGGTAAAATATCTAATTGTGCCTTCATACAAACCAGGAAAGGTTTAGAGAATCTTTATGCAGACAGTAGATACTTTTGGAGAGCATATAAGAAAACAGGGGGATTAGGATCAATGAAGATAACAGTCAATTTCCCATTAGAACAACCCATTCATATGAGGTTTAAGTTGAATTATATCTTTCTTTTTAACTAAATGGTATTCCATTTGAGCAGAAGCAATGATCTGAAACTCAAAGCAACTTCGCATTTTTTCATGGTAAACAGTACAATGTCACTTACCGTACTAATTATTAGCGATAAGAGTGTAAACAGCTATAGAAAGCAAGCAAGCTTCCACATGTTAAAGTCTATTGACCTTTTGCCTACTAGTACTACAAACACACATCTTTAGAATTTATCTATGTGAGAAGATTTTAGTATGTTCTACACGTGAAAAGATTCTTTTTAAGGAAATACCATTTGGATCATCAATCAACTCGAACGAAAAAGCAAAAGAAATCAAGTACACAATGAATTGTGATTCTATATTAAGAGAAATGTGACTTCTCTCAAGAATAACAGCTGTTCATAATATTCCATTTTCGGAGGAACAACAATTCTAACACCTGAAGTCTAATGCATTTTGAAATAATATAAAACATCATATATTATTCACCTTTTCTTCCATATATTATTTACCTCCTCATAATAAAGGGGATAAGCACTCCGGGAAATGCACTGAAGCTTCTAGTATACTAATATCTCTAGGTAGACGTCTGCTACTAGATTTGTCCTCACTTGGGACGCATTCGGTCCAGATACAACTCGGACATGATACTTACCATATCCATATCCGCTTATCCATCACGGATATAGATACGAAAATACCTCGGTAAGAAAAACTCATATCCATTTCTGCTAAAATCGGATATGGATATGGATATGGATATGGATATACATGCGGCTACAAAACGGACATGGGAAAACTAAATAATATTAAAAAGAATATAGTTCATACGAGTCAAAAGAGTTCATTACTTTGTTCGTTATATCTGAAAAGCTAAGATTAGACATCTGGATCATCAGAATTAATCTCAAATCAATAATCTAAGGATTAGAACTATTGTAATAGTATGACCAATATGTATTTGGATATTACAGATACGGATCCGGATATTTCACTACAAAACCATATCTGTAACCATATCATATCGGGTATAGAATTGAGTAACCATATCCGTAAAGATACGGTAATGGTTACGAATATTTTCTCGAATACGGGTACGGTTTAGTACCCCTAGTCCTCACACTTTCCGCGATTACATAAGATAAGTACTGAATGACGAGATGAAGAACCCACTTAAGCACATGCCTTTAAAAACAGATGGACAAAAATAGATAATTCCATATCAAATTGGATATGGAATTCAAAAGGAATGAATCTACTCATCTCATAAAATCACCACATACAAAGTTGAAATATCGCAAAAATATCAAGGTCAACAGAGCAGTTCCTGGTATGGCATACCTCTCGTCCAAACTGGACGTGTAACTTATTTTTGTCATCAGTAGCATATGACAATATGGTACCATCAGGGAGTTCAGCATAAAATAAATTTGATTTCCCATCAAACTGAGACCTCAGTAAATTTCTTCCTTCAGTGTTGTCACTGCCTGCAAAAGGATAAGTCAGATAGTTTCTACGTAGGTTACCAATGACACTTCTGAAATGCCACAATTTTTTTATCGATGAGAACATTTTACATAAAAATACAAGTGACAGCTTGAAGGGACTGCTTCAAAAGAATTGTAACAAATTTACTGACCAATTCAACTGGTGCTTTAGCTTCTCAGAAATGGCCCCATCAAATTATGAGTCATGACATATATGCATCCCTCTTGAAAATTTAACAGATTAAATCATGAAACAAGGCAAAAGAACATCTAACCTTAAATTAGGATCTTTTACTTTTCTAAGTTACAAGAAAAATAAAAATAATTTGTCAAGATTCTTATACACGCATATTAGGAGGTGTCTGGTAAAAAGTGGGTGCATGAAAAGAACAAATCTAGCAATTCAAAAACTAAATAATGTAAAACCATGGCAAGAGTCCAAGATCATAACATCAGCATAATGCTGTGGCCTAACAAGGGTCTACCAATTCAGAAAAGGGATATGTCCAATATGACAGAATCAACTTATGCTGTGGAGTCAAGGGCATATCAGTAAAGTGCGAGAGTATTTAAGTTCACCTACATTGCCATTTTGAATGAAGGCTTATTACATCCCATACCACCCTTTTCTTACTACACAAAGTACTGGCCACTGCTACCGTTTCAAGGAATAAGGAATATTGGAAAAAGAGGAGGAGGGGGGGGGAGGGTGTATATAGTATATCTTATTATATATATATATATATATATATATATATATATATATATATATATATATATACTATATATATTAGATGAGAGAGAGAGAGAGAGAAGAACTGGAGAAGCGCTGCCCAGTGCTCCTGGGGGAGCGCTTCTCCAGTTTTCTCATATATATATATATATTATATATATATATATATATAATAGAGATTTGAGAGAGGAAGAGCCAAACTTGTATCAACTTAAGTGGATAGCAAAACAGTTATCAAACGTGTTTAAGCTCTCTCATCTCCCTTAAGGAATCCTTGCATGATATGAAAATATTTTGTATATGGTATATAGAAATGAGGTGGCTTAGGAAGTGTTGATGGACATCACTTAAGTTGATAGGAGTCTACCTTTTTCTATATATGTTATATATAGTATTAGAAGAATTATGGGTATCCTTGTATAGGAGGGATTCCTCTATGCGTCTCTAAAATCAATTGATTGAGCGACATTATGGAATGATCGCTCCGTGAAACTTGATCTACATATTCGTAAAACTCCAACACACCAAGTTTGGGGTGAATCCTGTCGTATTTACCCTGCCATCAAGCCAATGGTGAAAGTGTACTATTCATTGCAAAACCGGTAGTAAAATCTGATACGCAGTGGGATGGAAGGGCTCAAACGCGGACGGGTTCACCCAAACTTGGATGTGTTGGGCGTTTAGAATAATGCTAGAATCAAGTTCAACGGAGCGGATCATCCCACATGTCGCTAATCATTGATTTTAGAGACGTATAGGAGGGAAATCTCTCTATGACAAGGATACCCATTAATCTCAAAATATATATATATATAAATATATATATATATAGTATATAGTATTTATATTATATATATATTATATTATATATATGAGAAATATGCAGTATGCTTGGTACCCAAAGTACAAAAAGGTATGGCATAATCGTAGTGAGGTCAAATCTCCCTCCGCTCATTCAAATGTGGACAATATTCACTTATGGTAGTGGGAGTGATGTGGATGTGACACATCACTACCAAGCACAAAATTTGTGTTAGTACCAACGCATACCATATCTCTCTCTCTCTTCTCCTCTTTCTCTCCTCTCTCAATATCTCTTCTCTATATATATATGTATATATATATATTAATATATATATACATATTATATATATATATATATATATATATATATATATTATATATATACTATATATAATATATATATATAATTTGTCTGGCCAGTGAGATGTCATATTCCCGCTTCACTCATTCCAATTCCCAACACTCCTGAGTTGGAGGCGGGATATATCATCTCATAACCAAGCACAAAACTATACTTGGTCCAAATCTACACATTTCTCTCTCCCTCTCCTTTGTCGCCTCTCCCTCTCCTCCTCCCTCTCTCTGCTCTCTCTCTCTTCCTCTCTCTCGTCCTCCTCTGTAGAGGGGTGAGGGTAGATAGTAGTGGTGAGATAGTAGTAGGTAGGTAGGGTAGTAGTATAGGGTGAGGTATATATATATATAGGGGGTAGCGGGGGGTATGTATAATTATGAGGAGATGTGAAATGGGGCGTGATCCTTGTGATGAAGAGGAGGTGATTCCGCTCCTTGTCGGGTTTACGTGGGCACAATCTCCACTATGCCTCGATGAGGGAGTAGGCGAAGAAATCGCCGCACCAAGTCACACCCCTCGGGTATGACAATTTGGAGGGTACCTATTGATCTCTCTCTCTTTATATATATATATATATATATATATTATTATATATATATAATATATATATATATAGAGAGAGAGAGAGAGAGAGAATCATAAACTGCATCTTCTACAGACTAATATCACAAGAAAATCCCATATGTTTCTTCCCTTCTAGTATTCTATGTTTGTATTCGAAACTAACTTTCTTAATTAAAATAAAAAAACTAAGAAAAAAAGAGAAGGGCAACGGGAGAGCAAGGGGTAGTTCATACAATGGAGAATTAAGCAAACGTGAGATTAATTTGCTTAGAGGTAGTGGCAGTAAAAAATGGAAGAAAAAGTAAAATACAAAGCAATGAATTAAAAGGAAATGATGGTTGATGGCAGCAGTGGAGTTAATAAGTTCAACTTTATTGTGGTTATACCTCAGTCAAAGATGGGATGAAGTTGGAAACGAATAAAAGTTTGGATTAAAGAAGTTAGCGAAAAAAGAGAAGATAGAAGAACTGGTCGAATTTAGGAGTCATGGTGGTGAATTAGCAGATGGACATCATTTTTGTGTTGGTTTAGAGAAAATAAAAGATGCAGTTGAGGACAAATGTGCATTTGACTTTTAGGGGCTGTTTGTTTGTTTAAAAAAAGAGGGAAATCAAAGAAAAGGAAACCTATTTCTAAGAAAAATAGGTTTTGGGATTGTTTGGAAATCAAAGAAAAGGAAACCTATTTCTAAGAAAAATAGGTTTTGGGATTGTTTGGTTGGCTAAAAAAAAGGAAATCAAAGAAATGTTTGGTTGGCTAAAAAAAAGGAAATCAAAGAAATGGAGATGAGATGAGATGAGTTGTCACATTATTATAGTATGATGTGAGTGATTTTTTAAGAAAACTTGTTTTGATGTTGTTTGGTTGGCGAAAAAAATAAGAAAATAAACTATAAGAAACCTATTTCTTGTATTAGGTTGTTTTCTTTTGTTTGGTTATTTCTTAAAAATAAGAAAATAAATGAGATGAGATGAGATGAGTTGTCATTATATTATTGGATGATGTGACCCACACTTAAGGAAATTGTTTTCCTAGCTTTTTGGGAGGAAAACAAAGAAATAAAATGTTAATGAGATGAGTTGTCACAATCTTATTGGATGATGTGAGTGATTTTTAAATATGAGATGAGATGAGTTGAGTGATGTTGTGGATAAAAATAATATTTTATTAGATGTGGTGGATGTGATGAATGAGTTGTTGGATGAAACTAATATTTTATTAGATGTGGTGGATGAGTTGTTGGATAAAAATAATATTTTATTAGATGTTGTGAGTGAGTTTTAGGGATGGAAATGTGTGAAATTGTACTTTTTGAGATTTCTTGGTTTTCATTTCTATTTTTTGGTTTTTTAGGAAATAACCAAACAGGCCCTTAATCAAAGAGTAAAAGTGCCCAAGGTACCTAGATGTAAATTTGTGAACTTTAGCATGTTTATTAGTACATATTTTTACTAGGGTATATATCTGCAAACTTGCGTAACTTTTCGATGCTTACGAGTAACTTCGCCCAAAACCAATCTCAAAAGATAGCAGCTGAAAAACTCACTCTTTGACAGCACTGTAAACTCAAATTCCAACTGCTTGGCAGCAAAATTAAAAGCAAAGAGTGTTCTAGATGCTTTAGACAATGGAATGGGAACACCCTGCAGAAATAATAGATGAGACTGTTAGCGCATAAATAAATTAAAAAATAAAAATTAAAAGACAAAAAAGATAATAATATATTTTCCTAAAACATATTTTTTAATCTAAATATCACATAAATAATGAATTGCAAGGATGGTAACAGCCCTCACCAAGTGAAAAGAAACCGTGCCATAAACAAAGACTTGATTTCAAGCAAAAAGATATGTCAGTAAAAGTCTAAGAGATGAAAATGCTTTGCATCTGAAATTTGGGAATAGAATATGTAAGTCAAGTCCATTCCTTTCTGAGTGTAATTAATAAAAACTTCATTGTCACATTTAGTTCTATACGAGTTTGACACTGCATAGATCATCATAATAGACAGAAGGCAATCCTGCCTGTATAAATTATTATAGACTTCACACCTAGCTAAACTTATCTGCATCAATATAGGTGTTTCCTGCAGAATGAGGACCTTCCTACCTGAAGATTTGCATGAGGGATACCTTGAAAGATCCACTCAAAGAAAACAACAGCCTTTCCCTGGTTCTTGAAGTATGTACTCAAAGCATTTTTGTATATCCCAAGTTCTTTCTCAGCTTCTGAAGGCATAGTAAGAGTATCAGGGTGGTGCTCAATTGGTATCAGCAGGACATGGTCCTGAACGAGTGGACCCTTAGCTAGTGCACAGTAGTAGGTTTCTCCAAGGCTCAGTATGAGATGTGACTCTACATCAGGGCTTGACAAGCAGAACCAACAATTTTTCCCTGAGCTCTTCCTGCCACTAAACAATCATGAAACATTATAAAACTAACAATAAAAGACCACATGGCAAAATGCTTAATCTTGTATAACTTCATACTTGTGCTTTCATGGAATGTTTTTGGTGTAGTTGTGCTCAACACGTCCATGTAACCAAAATGATTATAATTACAGATACGCACCAGCAATCCAAGCATGTAGCAACAGAGAGGGGGGGGGGGACCTTCATGCGCCTAAATTAAGTAGTTTTTTAATGATGCATATCTAATGTTCCTATCAATTGGCAAGCAAAATCAAGAACAGTCTAAACCAGAAGAGAGGAGGTCAGCTAGCTAATATGGAAACATGAGGGGCGAAGAAAAGAAGAGTGGAAGTTGAGAACTTGAACCTTGGAAAGGTGCCACATTGAGGCGAGGCCTAACTAGAAAGGGTTACATCAGGCTGCCACTACTATGAGTTCCGACGAGGTCAGATGTTACTTGCAGAAGATGGCATTAGATGCCTTGTAAAATTTTAATGCATATTCACACATGGTTCTCAAAAAATAATAACCGCCTAATGACTGGTTACTGATGATTACAACGACAAAAAGAATGATGTTAATTCAAAACATTGGTGCATGCATCAAACAATTAAATAATCGTACAAAAGTCTTTCAGAAATTTTAGCATCTTTTGAATTTCTTCTCTTATAATTTTATATCAGAATGCTAACGTTCTTTTTTATTCTCCTTTCTGAAGAGTGGACAGCACAGAGGACCAACAAAATTCATTTCAAGAGTATGAAACGTTATTTGGAGGAGGGTTTATCGGATGAAGGTCTTCAAATACATGTAAACAAAAATCAAAGGTAAGATTTGACAGGTAACTCTAAGAGTCTTGCTAGAGTTAGGGTTAAGGTGTTACTAAACAATTGATCAAGGGTGGCAGCTGTAGATATCAAAACTATAAAGTTAGATCGACCAAACAATATATTCAAACTAAGACATTCTTCCTTCTGTGTTTTTATAGAACAAATATTACTACTGTTATAGTGTTATGCATGCAGCTAAATATAAATAAAAACAAAACTCATGTTAGCACTCAAAACTATGTGGCCACGACCGAGTCAGAACTACTATCATCACACATAAGCAAACAGAGTGATGGCATACTAGGTGCCAACAATTGATTGTTTCTCTCCTGGAAAGAAGCAACAAGAATTGTATTCTATTATGCTTACCCATTAGTTCTGGTCCTCTGAGGTATAACTCCTTCATCGACAACATTGTGAGTAAATCTGCAATCTGGACCCCGTTCACATTTTCCTTTGTTAAGAAAGTCAAAACAAACATTTCGCAAATATTGCTCCCTTGCATCTGTATCATGTCGAAAGTTGCACTTTTCTCCTAGAGAACAAGATCCTGTAGATGTAAATGTAAAGCACAATCGTTCGGGCCCTCCCTGCCTTTGCCGCTTTCGGGAAACATCATAGCGCCAATATTGTACATCGATATCACTATTAGCAGGTCGCTTGGTTGCTTCTCCTGTACGCTCTGGCTTTGCTGCAATCATATATGGTGACGAAGTTGTGTGCAATGGTTTTGATTGTAACTCTGCAGCTGACATGGTCGACGCAGGAATAGGAGAAATGGCATGAATAAATTTCTGGAAGCAGGATTAGCAATACAAAAGTTATGTTATGGCTTAAGGCTACATAACTTGTTAGGCGTTTTGACAACAAGTAAATTATAATTCTCCATTTAGGAGCTACTAACAAAAGTAATTCCCATTAACAAACTTTAGATTGATGCTACAGCAATTAAATAGAAAACCAACCCTTTTAGTTAAAATATATGGTCATCTATCTTGGTATCATGGACCATTATATCCAGATACGATTTATGCATATATTGAACTTATATCTTCTGTAAGTTTTATAGGCCAACAACGTATCAAAAGTAGGCATAGATATTTAAAGCCAGCATGATAAAAAGCTTTATGACATCCTTAACATCACTGTTACACAAGAAAGAGAAGAATATCAATGCAATTGGATTTGAGATTTATCACACAAAGAAACCTGTTAATACTTGGTCTAAATGCTGTTTCTTTCTTGAAATTAATAATTTTTTCAATTATGAAAACATACAAACTACATGGCCTACTCTATAACTCCCTAAGTTGTCCATATCTTTGTTGGCAGGAAATTCAGCACCAACTGAGATGTTTGACTATCAAGTTGATAGCTGATTATAAAATAATCAAAATATTTACAGTTCCTTCTCAACATAAACTCAAGAACTACAACAGCCCCGTTTAATGGAAGAAGGATTAGATGGTGGTGATGACAAGTAGAAGATGTTAGTTTTCCATAAGGTGATTTTGTTCGAAGCATTAATGCACTATAATACAGAAGTCTATGAAATATGTCTCTCAAATCCTGCAGGGTAATGAGCAAATAAAGGTGATACATGTTTGTCTCTTAGCTTTTTTTGATAAAGGAAATTGAGGGGTAAGGCAGGCATATTCAAAAAGCATTTTTTTGTAGCATGTTAACGATCCACAACTGTAAGGACAGCACATCGCAACCTCAAGAATTAGAAATCCACACACAAATAGAATTCAACATAGAGTGACTGTCATGAAATGGATATAAAATAGAAATATATAATATGGTCAAAAGCAACTAATACATAAAGACGACTGCTTATGCTCCGAAAAAAAGAAAAAAAGGAACAAAAAAGAAATAGACCTGTTTATCTTTGTTCCCAACAGCAGCCAACCCAAGAAATCGGGTGACATGTACAGAGTCAGTGTTAGAGTAAGGCTGACGTGCATAAAATATTCCTTTGGAACCTGCAACGTGATACCTATACAAAAGTTATATCAATGAATCTCATATAAACATCTGATCCAAGAATGTTCTTTTGTAAGATAAAACTATGGCAATGAAACTCCCACAAATCCATCCATATTTTGCAGTCCAGTTCAAACGTATTTACAAGTAATAGAAAATAACATTAGATACAAATACACATATTCCACACTTGCTTTCTAGCTATCATGATGTGTTCAATTATACCTATGGTAACATTGCACAACAAGAGCTTAGAAAGTGAGTAACAGTAACGTAGACATTATAGCATGATGTCTAATAGTACGACCATCTGAAGATGCTTCACAAGTAACATCAAGGTCAAAATTTATACCACAATATACAAAAAGTCATTTGTACAGCCATTATAATCAAAAGATTGTGTTGGTTTAAAATTAATGAATCACAAAGGACTCGCCAGAATCATGAATCTTATTTAAGGCATGGAGTGGGCTGACAGAGTCACAGAAGACATGGAAATGAACTTGACATAGTCATAGTGCATTGAAATGGACTAGACAGAAGACTTCCACGAAATATCTGGACACGATGGGCAGGTAACCTCTTACTGACAGAAGAAAGAAAATATGGAAAATATGGCTAAGTTCAGGAACCAGCCAAGCAAACAAACAGTGGTCTAGCCAAAAAAGTATCTACCACGCACCTAACAGAAAAAAATGATAATGAATAATACACCCCCTCCATCTCAATTAATCTTTTTCCACATGCTGAGATTTCAAGCTTAGGTTCAGATATCAAAAGGTTTCAAAAATAAAACTGGAAACAGGCAGCTCAAGTGAATGAACTCGATCATAGAGAGGACAAGCATAAGAAACAGGTAAAGGTCTACTCTCCAACTATATCATGCCTACTTGTTGGGAAAATTTTTAATTATATCACTTTTCACATAAGGTCAAGAGTTTGAAGCACCTAATAGACATACCCCCTCTTATTTCCAATTGTTCCTTTTTTCCCATATCCAATTACAACACAGCCAATACCAATATCTATGCAAAGTGCAAACTACTTTCAACTGGATGTTTTTAGGCATTCGGGTCTTACAAATAGGCACTGTGCATCTGAAGCCCATATCAGTATGCCAATAAGAAATTTACACTGAAAAATGTATCAAGCTCTGATTTTCCATGACCAAAGACGAACCAATATGAACCTCTAGTACACCTCGTACAATGTCCCCAGCTGCTCTGTGAGTTAAATTATTTCCACTTTATCTCTTTTGTCCTGCCTCAAACAGCTTTGCTATGGCAATCATCTTGGTGGATAATAATAAATACCACGATACAATGGTAAGTTTGTGCCCACCTTTATAACCTCTTCCTTCCAGATGTAGCAGACTTTTCTTCAATACACTCATTCTCCGCTCCTGCCAACCAAATTTTGTAGCTTTGTTATCCCTATTTATATGTATGGCTTTGACCTTAGCTTCATCCGTGCAAATCTCTATGTGTAAAGTGTAAACCAATGTTGATATCATAACACTGATGTCCAATAACACTATATTTACAAAAGATACGCTTGATAACAGTCTCAGGAAGCTAGTTTCATACCATAAACTGATAGAACTTACACATTCAAGAAGCATGTATAGGCAAGGTTAGCTATGTTTAGGAAAAAAATAATCTTCAAAATTTGATACCTCAAATTATCATAATACTGCACAACTAGCTCCTATTTGTGGTAAAAAACAACATCTATTGCTAAGATGTTGAAGAGCCACATAAACTATCCCTCATTCACTTGCTAATATAGCACACTGCTTAAAGCAACTAGCACACTTCTTTATTGATGAAACGTGTTGAACTAATGGGATTATGGTAGAAGAAACTTGTAAAAAGTAAGTTCTACTCATTTGTACTCCAACTGAGATGCAAAGAATTAAGTCAATTCCAAGTCACAACTCACCTAGGTTTGAGTTCTGCAGCCAACTCTGCGACCACAGGGTCACTGCCCCAAGGGTCGGAGACTGCTGGTAGAGCATCAGTTGTATCAGCTCCTTCTGAAACCCCACTTGGCCATTCATTAGTAATATCTAGTTAAGAATCCAATAAAGCTCTCAAATTCTCCAAGAAATGTAGCTTGCTAATGAGACAAGGAAATAGAGAGGAAGAAAGATTGTTGCAAGGATATGTCATGAAAATATCAACTATTCCTGACTCATCAATCAGAGCTCGCAAAGCATCAACATCGTCCTCACTGTACCTACCCCTCCCACCAGCATCTGGGTACTTCCGTCCAGATAAATAAACCATCGACAACCCTGCAATTATAACATAACAACATAACATGCTTACTTTTCAAAAAAAAAGAGGAAAACAGATGAAGAAACGCAGACAGTCTCAAAAACACCCTCCAACTTTTTCGTTAATTCTCTGCACATATTAACAAATTGCTCTAACTCTCAAAGTTCAGAACGAAATCCACTGTATTTTTCCTCCAAAAAAAACACTATTCGCTCTTGTTAAAGTTAATACTAAAATTCAAGAAAATTAGTTCAAGAAATTGAAGGGTACAGCATGAAATAGTATAAGATTAGCAATTCCAATATTTCTATTACACTTGGAATGTTATAGTAGACGATTTGAGGTCAAATGAAACTAAATTCAAATAAAGGCTTCATCCAGAATCCTCCTGCAAAATTATCTAAACGTGACATCTTTTGTCCAAATTCCAGGGGTTATCTGCGATATTCTCACAATTAATCTCTAAAGAGTCAAAAACTAGGGTTTTAAGAGAGAAGAAACTCACCATGAAGAGAGAACTTGCCGCTGCCCTTCAACCAGTAGAGATTAGCACAAACCTCAATCCCATCAGTCTTAAACCCAAGATTAGAAGCTTTCGATAGAAATCGAGCAGCTCCAGCGCCGTAATCGCCGGTGAAATAAGTAGGAATTGGAACGGAGCATCGGCCTTCGACATAATCAGCGACCTCGTCGATCCCTTCATCGGACTCAGGAAAAAACTGGCCGACGCAGAGAAGGGCATCGAACGGCCCGCTCGATTTGTTCACCTGAGGAGAAACCCTAGAAATTAGGAATTTTGGGAAGAAGGAGAAGAAAGGAACCTAGAAGTGAAAATTACCGATTGGACTCGTTTGAAAAGTTGGTTGAGGTGGCCGAGGGGGTCGCCGCAAAGGAGGATTCTTGGAGGGGGCGACATGAAGATTGGTTGGGGTTACGGAGGAAGAAGCTGGGATAGGCGGGAGATTGTTGGGTGCTTTCTTTTGGGGAGGAAGAATGGAGAGTGATGTCACCGGTAAGAATCTGGGCCTTGATCTTTAGTTAAACAGGAGTTTGGCCCTGTATATTTAGTAGCGAGGCCCATTTGGATCCATGCAATTGGTTATGAAACTCTGTCAAAGTTGAAGAGGCCCTGAATCGTTAATGAGAGACCAGAACTCCGTCTATTCTATTCTATATAAAAATGGGATAAAAATGGGATAACTTTTTACTATTATCTTATTTTTACTTTTTATCCGGTACTAATTAATTAATACTGTAAAATTTTATTTTACAAATTATCTCAGTTCTAGTTTTGAATTTTACTTGACTAATCCCTCCACGGAGAAAGCATATTTGACTTTAGGGAGATTTTTTTTACTCGTTATCCAATTTTTTGTTGTAGTTGTACCTTCAAAACTCATTAATGATTTGTTATTAGTCAAGGATACCATGTCTTTATTAACACAAGCAGTACTTATATGTGGTGAGGGTAATTAACCTGCGGACTGGTTATCGAACGTGAGAAATGTGAAGGAAGAAAGATGCATTTGGACTTCTAACTTTTCACTAGAGCTTTTACCTTTTGTGCTTGCGGAATATGCCTTCTTTTTTTCATGAGAAAACCAAATAAGTAATTGACATGAGTAGTGAAAACTTTTAATTAGATTCTCTCTTCTTCCTTTCAGAAATTCACATTTTTAATCTTTTTACATGTTCAATTCAAATCGAACGCGAAATTTTTTTAATCACATGTGATACGCTAATTGTTGCTTTTATATCCGGAAATAAAAGTAAAGAATGCCGACGGTGGGTTATTATGATCTCGAAAACAGCCTTCCAATTATCAACAGGAGGTAGGGATTCATATCTTACTAGTCTTTTAGCTCGTGCTAAGCATGATCTTATCGCAATTCACCAACATTTCATCATGTTCCGATTGGATATTTTATTAAAGAAAAGGCAATTTAACATGTTTTACATATTTTATTTTCCTCGGCAATTAATACGTGCATAATGGCTATATAATTATGGCGAACGTTATCGTATTAATTACGGGTTTATTGCGTAACGGTCGACATTATGGCGTACGTTACTGTATTGATTGCTAGGATTTGTAACGACTCTCTAAGACCCCTATATAAGCAGCCCTTCATATTCTCGGAAAAATAACAAAAAAAAAAACAACAAGTCTCTTCTCTCCTCTTCATATTATTTCTTCATAGTATTGGTTTTATTTTTGGGCAAATTTCTTCATCTGAGCAGAAGCTCTGTACTCTCGCCCGAGTACAGAGGCCGGTGGATTCCGGGAGCTTTTACCGTTAGGAGAGAGGGGATCATCTACGCCAGGGCGATAGGTGGGTCCTCAATCTTCTAGGGCAGTGAATACATGACTGCTCCCGATCAGGCCAGATTTAATTGTTTATTTTATTCGGATTTATTTCATGCTATAATCTTAATTATTTGATTTATTTTCAACAATCTAGAAGATTGATGAGTTTATAGCTTTTGATTTAAACCCGAAAGAAATTATATTTAAAGTTACTATTCATTGTTCACCCGAAAATTTACTGTTCATAAAAATCATAATTAATTTTGCATTTACTGTTTATTTAAAAAGTTTCTGCTAAAAAATACTGCTAATTGCTTGATTATCTATTAATTGTTAAAAAAATCAGTTTCGGTACTGTTCACTCAGAAAAATACAGTAACTATTTTTTTATTAAAAAATTTAGTGCATCTCCTGGAAGGAGACATTGAAATAACATTAAATATATCCTCTGATATCTTCAAAGTACAAGAGATATTTGTTTATCAAAGTATGACATTGGTGTGCTATATTCTGATGTTGATTATATGACTGATCCCCATATTGTCAAATCTTTGACTGGTCATGTTTTTCTCTGTAGTGGTACCATTTATTTTTTGGAGGTTTATTAAGCAGACAATGGTTAATACTTGAAACCACTCAGAGATTGTTCCTCTATACGTCTCCCACGAGAATGTGTATGGTTAAAATCACTGATAAAACACATTCGATGATCGTGTGGCATATTAAACGAGGATATGACCCCCGATGTCCTTTCTAAGGATAATGTAACTTGTGTTGCATAAATGAGATGTGGAAAATTTTTATCCACTTGCACTCGAAAATAATAATGAAATTAACACAGATAAGTTCGCTCTAAGTCGTGACAATCTAGAAGATTCGATCACCAAATCCCTTAATACATCAACTTTTAATTTTATGATATCGTGCTTGGCCACCACGGTATGCATAGACTTAAATGCTTGTTGTCTTGAGGGGGAGCAAAATTATTTTTCAGAATAATCCTGAAGATTAAGCCCTGAAGGCGGTAGTTGTACTCTTTTTCCCTTAGCTAAGTTTTTGTCCCATTGGGTTTTTTCTTAGCCAAAGGTTTTTAACGAGGCAGCTAATGCAGCACAAGTTTGGATCCCGAAGATCTATAGTTGTCCTCTTTTTTCCTTTGCTAAGGTTTTGTCCTACATGGTTTTTCTTAGCGAAATGTTTTTAATGAGACAACTGATGTAACTGAAATAATGTATGTATGTCATGTACTCTTTTCCTCGACTGGTTTTTTCCCACTAGGTTTTCCAGCGAGGTTTTTAACGAGGCATTGACATCTCAAAGTAATGTCCAAGGGGGAGTGTTGAAATCTAAAAGTCATTTTGTGGAAACCTAAAAGACAAAATGAATGTGGACATTACATTGAATGTGGAATATTAATTAGTGACTTTTCATTTCAATATTAATTAAGTTTTTAAAATTTGTTTGAAAATTTAATATTCAGTAAAATCAAAATTATTGTTTTTGAATAGTTTCCTCATTAATTAATTCCAAAAATAATATTAAATTTGATTTAATTTGAAAATAGGAACATGATCTAAATGTGAAAATTTCATTACAGTTAGATTTTTTCCATTAATTTTCTAAAAATATGAATCTATTATATAGAAATTTGGTAACTTGAGTTTGAAATAATTTTAGTATTAGTTAATCTAAAAGTTAGTATTAAATTTGGTATAATTTGAGAAATTTGAGAAAATTTAAATTTACAAAATATTAAAAAATACAGAAATTCCAAGGTAGGAAAAACCTAAAATCAGTATTATAATATTTTAGAATTGGGAATTAGGTCTTAATTTGAAAATAATTAAAGTTATATATTTTAAAATTTAAAATTTCTAATATTGTGAGAAAAATTAGAAATATAATATTTTAGAAAATTCAAGAAAACAGAATATCTAAAATTTGGTAATTTGTCACTATTTATTTATTTCTATTTCAGAAATTTTGAAACTAAAAAATTTTGGATAAAAAGAAATTTTGAAAAATATCTTAAAATAAAAACCCAATATTCAAAAATTTAAATTATAAATTTCCAAAATTAGGAAATATATCCAGTACTAAATGATTTTGAAAAAATTTGCTACTAATTATTTTAGATATTAATTAATTTTGTAAATTTTGTTTGAAATTTTGGTATTCATTAATCTCAAAATTACTATTTTGAAGAATTTTGTTATTAATGAATTTTGAAAATAGTATAAAATTCAGTGTAATTTGGAAAATAGGAACATGATCTAAATTTGGTAACTTAATTGAAGTTAGAACTTTCCATTAATTTCCTTAAAATATGAATTGATTACACATATATTTGGTAACTTGAATTTGGGTGCATAAGTTCGGTAACTTGAATTTGTTTCAAATTTTGATATCAATTAATCTCAAAATTAGTACTAAATTTAGTAAAATTAAATAAAATTTTGAGAAAAATTAAATAAAAATTCAAAAGTACAGAAATTTCAAGGAAAAAAAAATCTAAAATTAGTATTATAATATTTCATCGTTAGGAACTGGCTTAATTTGAAAAAATATTAAAATTAGATTTTTAAAAATTTAAAAGCTTCTAATATCTTGAGAAAAATTAGAAAATTTCTAAAATCAATAATGCAATATTTCAAAAAGTTAGAAATTAAATTTTAAAAGATTCAAAATTTTAGATATTTGGATTAAAAAACCCTAATTCTAGAAAAAATTATATACTTTGTTTTTAAATATTTTGATTAAAAATTTAAAGGTTAAGAAATAGCTTTTATTGTAGTATATTAAATAAATTAAATATAAAAGTTTCAATCTATATATGCATCATTATGAATAAAAATAACTTTTGGATATAAAAAATAAAAAATGATTTAAGGATGCAAAATATGGGACCAAGGGAGGGGATAGGTGATGTGTCCCCTCCCTATTGCATAATGAGATGCAATGAGGTGGCATGGTCAACTCATTTTGCAATAGGGAGGGGATACCTCACCTGTCCCCTCCATTGGTCCCATATTTTGGGTCCCCGTAGCAGCACTCATAAAAAATTTAACATAATGAAAGGTTTATAGAATATTGTGCCGAAATTAAACTTAGATGGTGGGCTTTCTTCGATCTTTAACTTTTCAATGATGATGATAATTAAGATTCTCGAGGGTTACAGGATAAAAACCTAAATTTTATTTTTTTGCTCTGAGCAAAAGAGCCTCAATGGGTTGTAGAATAAAAACTGAAAAAATATTCTCCGAGAAGAAGCGCCTCAATGATATTATATGGAACATGAATTCTTGAGAATTTTTAGGATATTTAGAATTAGGTACAAAAGATATTGTGTTTGATGAAAAATTTAGATTTTACTGTATAGAGAGATTTTTAAATTAAAGGTTAAGATATTTTTCTAGGATTGTAATATTAGTGGACAGTTTAGATGTGATGACAGTGAAGTTGTGAAGGAGGAAGTTGATGTGACATCCTCTGGTGAATTTTACAGCTATTTGCTTTAATGTATGTTCTAGTAAAAGATGGTTGAAGTTATATGATTCACGGCTTTAAGTTGAACACATAAGGTAGTGATGGGCAGTGAGATGATGAAGAAGAATCATAGATTTTTGTATCATTATGGTCTATTAATTATTTCATTTATTGAAAAATTTCCGGATGCTACTACAATAGAACAAAAGTTAGT